GCACGCGCTGCAGGTCGGGGGCCTGGGCATGTGGGTGCAGTCAAGGGGCTGTCCACGCACCGTGAGGCCCTGGGGCCGGGCGGTTCCCCCCCCCCCGTCCCCACCCCACCCCACCCCACGGAGAAGGATATCCTGCTCCGTGTCGCCAGCAGGGGGCAGCACGAAGGGCTCGTCCTGGTCCACGTTGATCTGCAGGTCCCCCTCAGCCTCTCCGGGTTCGCGGGGCTCCGGGGACGGCGCCTCCTCTTCCTCAGAGTCCTCCTCGCTCCACTGGCCTCTGAAGCAGGTACGGGGACGGCGAGTCACACACCAGAACACTCACGCTCACACACGCACCCCGGCCTCCGCCGCAGCCCCTCGCTCACCCCGCCGCGGCCTCCAGCGCCTTCTGCCTCCGGGCTGCTCGCTCAATGGGCAACAACTGAAAAGAAAGGGGGGCTGGGAAGTCCACCCGCTGACCCCTGACCCGCCAAACGCAGGGGTGCATTCTCCACAGAGGCCATGCCTGACACCCCAGCGACTCAGGAGGCTGAGATCTGAGGATCACAGTTCGAGTCCAGTGCAGGCAGAAAAGTCTGTGAGACTCTGATCTCCAATGAACCATCCAAAACCCCAAGTGGGGCTGTGGCTCAAGTGTACAGTGCCAATCTTCACTGAAAAAACCCAGGCACAGCGCCCACTGGGTGCAAGCCCCACTACCACCCCCGACCCCAACCCCCCACCTCCCAAAAAAGGAGAGATGGTAACCAATGAAACCAACAAGCCTTCATACAAGGGCTGTGGGCTGGGGCTAGAGCACCAGCACCCATGCTCAAGGCCCTGGGTTCGAATCCATCTCACACACAAGCATGCGCGCACACACACACATCACTGTGGAAATTACATGATGACTAAAAAAAATCATATGCAAGCTGTCCACTTCCCATCACAGCCTCCAGAGTTCTAGGATTACAGATACGCATCAGCTGGGTGTGTATGTGTGTGTGCACGCGCGCATGCGTACTGGTACTGGGTGAAACTCAGGACCTAAGTCCTGTCCCTTAATTTTTCCCTTCAAGGCCTATCCCTTGAGGTATGCCTCTACTTCTATTTTTTTTTTTTTTTAACCAATCCTGGAGCTTGAACTCAGGGCCTGGCACTGTCCCTGAACTTTTTGCTCAAGGCGAGCGCTCTACTTCTTGAGCCACAGCGCCACTTCTGGTTTTTGGGTTGTTTATTGGAGATCAGAGTCTCACGGACTTTTCCTGCCCGGGCTGGCTTTGAACCGCCATCCTCAGATCTCAGCCTCCTGAGTCTCTGGGATGACACGAGGGAGCCACCAGCGCCCGGCCCGACGCCCATTCTTATTTATTTAAACACGCTACCCTGTAGCTCTTTCAAGCTTATGCTCAGAGAAGATTCAAGGCCAGAAAGAGCCAGTGGTGGCTTTCTACTGCCATGTTATGTCAGTCCCAGGAGAAGCTCAACCATCAGGCGAGAAACTAGAAGGCAAGCCAGGTGTGGTGTGCACGCCTGTAATCCAGGCTATGGGGAGGCTGACACCGGAGGCCCACCAGCTGTCATCTGAGCTGTGTAGGGAGAGGAGAAACATTCCAAAGATCTGGGAGTGAGTATCTAGAAGTGAATCTGACCTTCTCCTCCTCGTCCTCGTCCTCGGAGTGCGAGTCGGCGCCATAGTCATCCACCATGTCAGCATCGCTGTCTTCCGAGCCCCACAGGTCATCCTGCTTCACCTCAGCACCCTCCTCCTCCTCCTCTTCATCCTCCTCCTCCTCCTCACTGCTGTGTGCAGGTGCCGGGCGCTTCTTGCCCCGAGCAGTGCTCAACAAGGCCTGGGCTCCCTTCTGACTGGAGAGCCCAACAGCTCCTGCAAATGCCCCATGTGACACTGCTACTTGGGTCACAGCGCCCTTTCTGCCCTTTTTTTTTTTTGGTTGGTCTTGAACTCTGGGCCTGGGCGCTGTCCCTCAGCTCTTCAGCTCAAGGCTGGCGCTCTACCACTTGAACCACAGCGCCACTTCTGGTTTTCTGGTGGTTCATGGGAGATCAGAGTCTCACAAGCAGGAAAGCCCAGGCTGGTTTTGGCCCGTGATCCTCAGATCTCAGCCTCCTGAGTAGCTGGGATGACAGTGTGAACACCGGCACTGGGCCTTTTCTGGCTTTTTGCTGGCTCACCGGAGATAAAAGTCTCAAAAGCTGGGCACTGATGGTTCACATCTGTCATCCCAGATACTCAAGAAACTGAGGTCTAAGGACTGCAGTTCAAAGCCAGCCCAGGCAAGAAAATCCACGAAACTCTGATCTCCAGTGAACCACCAAAAAAAAAAAAAAAGCCAGAAGTGGAGCCATGGCTCAGGTGGCAGAGCACTAGCCAAGTTCAGGGACAGGGGCTGGGAAGGTGGCTCAGTGGTAGAGCGCTTGCCTTGCATGCCTGAGGCCCTGGGTTCGATTCCTCAGCACCACATAAGCAAAA